CATCAAGGTGACTATAGTTAATACTGTATATTTTTAAATAGTGAAAAGAATTTAAAATTTTTCCACTACAAAGGAATTTTTTTTTTAGAAAAATGAATAGCCTGACAAAGACACAGCAAAAGAGAATATGCATATATTATATGTGTGTGTGTGTGTGTGTGTGTGTGTGTGTGTATATGTGTGTATATATATATATTTGACATGATAGGCTAATTACCCAGATCTGATCATTTCTGCAATGTATACAGGTATCCAAACATCACATTGTACCCCATAAATGTGTACAGTTATTATTTGTCAATTAAAGAAAACCAACTGGAAGTGAAAGAGACTGCTTACAAAGGAAGTTAATCAAACCAGCGGCATACTATTCCTGAACCACCATAGATGTCTTAAGACAAAAGGAAGAGTAATTTTAAAAAGCAACTGTAGGCTGGACGTGGTGGCTCACACCTGTAATACTAGCACTTTGGGAGGCTGAGGTGGGCAGATCACCTGAGTTCAGGAGTTCAAGACCAGCCTGGCTAACATGGTGAAACCCCATCTCTACTAAAAATACAAAAAGTAACCAGGCATAGTGGCGCGCTCCTGTAATCCTAGCTACTCTGGAGGCTGAAGCAGAAGAATCGCTTGAGCCCAGGAGGTGGAGGTTGCTGTTAGCTGAGATCGTCTCATTGCACTCCAGCCTAGGTAACAGCAAGATGAGACTCCGTCTCAAAAAAAAAAATGGGGAACTGTTAAACTTGGAATTCTATTCCCAACTAAACATTCATTCACAGGTGAGGACAAAAATAATATTTTAAAAATAAAGATCAGGAAAGAAATTAATGAAATGGAGAACAGAGAAATAGAGAAAATCAAGAAAACAAGTTGGTTCTTTGAAAATATTAACAAAATGGGCAAACCTTTAGCTAGACTGACAGAGAAAAAAGACTCAAATTACTAAAATCAGGAATGAAAGAGGGCACATTATTACCAACCTTAGAGGGAAGTAAAAAAAGGTGCTATAAGGGAATACTATGAACAGTTGTTTGCCAAAAAATTAGACAACTTAGCTAAAATGGACAGATTTCTACAGCTTACTAAACCAAGTATTTTTCCTAATTGCCTTTTTTGTGTGTGTCAAAACCATCCGATGACAACAGAAATGAATATTGAGGCCTCTTTCAGCTGACAGTGGAAGGAGCTGAGTCCTCTGACATGATTTTGGGTTGAATGGAACCTTCACATTCCTTTCAATCCTCTTAAATTTGTTAAGCCATGCCAAAACAGAGAATGCATTTTTTTCCAAGAAGGTACCAGAAAATCTGATCACCGATCTCCGGACAGACTGTAAAAAAAGCTAGCCTAAGGCCGAACACAGTGGCTCACATCTGTAATCCCAACACTTTGGGAGGCCGAGGCAGATGGATCACCTGAGGTCAGGAGTTTGAGACCAGCCTGGTCAACATGGTGAAACCCCATCTCTACTAAAAATACAAAAATTAGCCAGGGATTGTGGTGTGCGCCTGTAATCCCAGCTACTCAGGAGGCTGAGGCAGGAGAATTGTTTGAACCCAGGAGGTGGAGGTTGCAGTGAGCCAAGATCCTGCCATTGTCCTCCAGCCTGGGCAGCAAGAGTGAACCTCTGTTTCATAAAAAGAACAGCCGGCCTGAGACCTGGGGTGCAGAGGGATCTCACTCCGTCCACCTGATCAAGTTGCTTACCTTGTCACCACAAACCGCACAGAGGGCTTCAGCTGGAGTCCCCAGCCCACTCTGCACAATCAGGGCTGGAATCTGATTTCTCTGGCTTATTTCCCAAGGCTGTTCTCTTCACCTCAGCTACGGGAAATCTGTCTATGTATCTTTTGGCAGGTAGCTGTGTTGTCTTGTCAGAAGGGAAACAGTAGCAATGAAAATGTCAGACTTTTGTGCTAAGTTCCCTTACATATTACCCAACAACAAACTTTTGTTGAGCCAACCCGTTCATTCATCCAGCAAATATTTATTGAAACTCTGTTATGTGCAAGATGTTACATTAGGAGATACAGGTATGTACAGAAATCTCATGTAATTGAGGCAGATTAAGATCTAATAAGGTTAGAGATTAAAGTGAAATAATTTTAAGGGAAAAAAATTAAGTACCATAAAACATACAAAATTTTAATTCTGAGTTTCACAGCCTAATAATGGTCATGAAGTCAACTTAGTGGGTTTCCTACCACTTTTTAAAGAACTTGAACTATAACAAAATATCATTGCATTGCATATCTTATTGATATTTTGTAAAATTTTTGTTTGTTATTTATACTACAGTTGTAGTGTTAAATTTTTTTTTTTTTTTTGAGATGGAGTTTTGCTCTTGTTACCCAGGCTGGAGTGCAATGGCGCAATCTCGGCTCACCACAACCTCCGCCTCCTGGGTTCAGGCAATTCTCCTGCCTCAGCCTCCTGAGTAGCTGGGATTACAGGCACACGCCACCATGCCCAGCTAATGTTTTGTATGTTTAGTAGAGACGGGGTTTCACCATGTTGACCAGGGTGGTCTCGATCTCTTGACCTCGTGATCCACCCGCCTCAGCCTCCCAAAGTGCTGGGATTACAGGCTTGAGCCACCGCGCCCGGCTGTTAAATGTTTTTAATGTGGGTTACAGTCAAAAAATTTGAAAGAGTAACTCAAACATGCTTCAGAAGAATCTAGAAGCTTGCAGACAAGAGGTGACTTTGGAGAGTTAGAATTTGGACAAGTTAAATTCTGCCATGTTGAATATAAAAGTTAAAAAAAATTTTTTGACAAGTGAAAATGGATAATGAGATGAAAAAGTGGAGAGCGGAGTCTGGGTGAGGTTGCTCACATCTATATTCCCAGCACTTTAGGAGGCTGAGGTGGGCAGATCATTTGAGCTCAGGAGTTCAAGACCAAGCCTGGCCAACATGGTGAAATGCCATCTCTAGTAAAAATTAAAAAATTAGGCAGGGTGGTGGGCACCTGTAATCTCAGCTGCTCGGGAGGCTGAGGCAGGAGAATCACTTGAACCTGGGAGGCGGAGGTTACAGTGAGCTGAGATTGTGCCACAGCACTCCAGCCTGGGCTCCAGAGTGAGACTGTCTCAAAAATTTTTTTTAAAGTGGAGAGCAGAGAGAACTGGCACCTCCAAGCCTGTCAGGAGGAATGAGAGACTGAGAACTACCCAGCAACCAGGAAGGATTTAGGGGATACCTAAAAGAATTTTTTGTGTGGGTAGATATGGGAAGTGAAGAGCTTTTGTTAATAATTAACTGTATTCCCTAATGGATTGCTGATAGCTTATCAGCTGTGTTTGCCCATGTGGACTTTGGCAGCTCAACCTTTGGTGTGGTTGAAAACAAGTGAGAACTCCGTGATAGGCCCCGTGGTGGGGTGTCTGGTCCTGCCCCCTCTCTGCTGTGCAATCTCCTTGAAGGTTGTCTAGTTCTCCTGTGGGCAGTATTGACACCTTGCCTGGAAAAGCGATGGGATTGCTCTCCGACTTTGGTTTTAAGAGATTAACACTCCTGTAGGATAAGGGCTTCATATCCTTCAGAGCTCTGCGTGTTGGAAGCATGTTTATTTCACTTTATCTCTGTGTGGGCTTACTCCTTTTCCGGTGCTTCAACGAAAGGCGTGATGGGGACTGGCCTCTTTCTGGCAGCCCACTACAGTGGGATGGGAATCCCACAAGGATTACAGAATGTCTGGAAAGCACCGACTTTAACCAAGGGTTCTTACAAAGATGAAGGGGCTCTGAGGGAAATTCTGCAAGAGGTATCATTACTTTGAAATCACTTGGAAAATAAATGAGAGGAATATCACCGCTGCCCCCATAACCACTGCAGCACTGTAATTACAGGGTGAGGATAATTGAATTTTAGAAACATCGGGGCCCAGCTATTCTCTTCCAAAGTAACATGAACAATCTGGCCCACTCTGGCCTGGCGAAGAGGAAGCTGCTTAGTTCTTCTTGCCACCGGCTCCAGGGACTGTCTGCTTTCTTTCCTCCTCAGCACCGCCATCACGGGGGTCCTCCCTGCAAGACCTGCAGAGAGTAGGATGTTGCCCCCTTCCTGCGCAATTTCAGAGACAGCTAGTGCCGTCTGGGCACCAGTCACTGGGCTAGGAGCGGCACTGAGTATTAACCAGCGACAGTTGGGCTAGAAAGCCCTTCCTCTGAGCGCCTCGAGGCTCAGGTGACAGCTGGCTCAGCTAATAGAGGAAATAGTCCTGATGTGCCTCAGAACAGAACAATGGCAGTCGAATGGCTGGTTTATTTTCTCAAGAAATCTGCGTTTCCCAGGCCTGATATACATCTCAATGGGACTGTCCCACAGCTGAAGAGTCTCCTGGGACCCCCAAATGAACAATTCTCCCAACTTTGGGTTAGTGGGGTTCCTTAGGCGTCTGATCACTGTGGGAAGCGGTGCAACATAAAGTGTGAAAAGTGAATATAATATGGTTTATTTGGAACTCAACCAGGGAATTCTGATTCTTTTGGCTGGTGGAAGTATGCAGAAGAAACATGGTTTAAGGGCGCGTCCCTTTCTAGAGTACCTTTCCGAACTGGGGAGAGAAGAGAAGCTTTCTGGGTGAACCAGCAGTGGTGAAATGCACATTCAAATCGAGTGGGTAGGACTCTCCTCCAGGGGGTGAGGGGTGGAGGCCAGGCGGTGAGAGCTTTCCGCGCCCGGGAAGCACGTCTTCCCGGGAGGTTTTCGGAAGCAGGAGGGGGCCCTCGGGAGTCACGGCCAGAGCTCGCGGCCGGGCTGGAGAATGGAGGGTGGGAGCGACGATCGCAGCCAGGGCCGCGAGGCGCAGGAGGACGCAGGCTGGCCAGGTCCCCGGCGCGCCGGCCCCACGTGGCAGTCCCGGGGCGAGCGGGGCGGGCCGGGGGCGGGCTGGAGGCGGGCCCGGCCGCTGACGCGCCGGGTATATAGCCGGGCATGCGCGCAGTGTTGGGGCCCGGACGCGGCGAGGGGAGTTGGCGCGGGTGTCTGCACGGACGAACGAGCTGAGCTGCTCTTCCTGCCGCCATCGGCCGCCCGAGGCTTTACGGTGAGGCTGCGCAGGGCCGGGGCTGCCTCCGAGCCCCAGGTGAGGGCGGGGACGCGAGGGACTGCGGGATGGGTAGCGGCGGAGGAGCCGCGCGCCCCAAGCTGAGGCACTGAGTGGGGGCGGGGACAGCGCTGCGCTGAGGACCCGGCACCACCCGCGCACGCCGGGACCCCCGGGTGGAGGGTGCATCTGGCCACGGTGCCGCGATGGCTAGGGGAGAGGTCAAGGCGCGGCCCGTCCGCCTGGAGGGCGCGGGATGCGAGAGCCGCAGAAGGGTGCTCAGAGCGTGGGTCGCCGCGCCGAAGGCTGAGCCGTGCTCCCGGAGCCCCCGCGCGGACAAGGACGCAGATCGCAGACAGTAGGTGGCCAATCTGAGGAGCGACTCCATGGGGCGCTGGGGTCTGGACTTTGCTTTCCGAGAGCTGCGTCCCCGGGCCCCCGCCAGTCCACCTCCTCCCAGAAGATACACATCCCAAATCTTCCGGCTGAGCGAATCTCCAACCTGGCTTGCCCTCGAGGATGGCTTTCTGGCTATTTTTGGTCCTTAGTGACCAATTTTGGTGGTCGGGTTCAAGCTGCCCCCTCTTGGTGGGTGAGGAGGTGGGACAAAGTCACCATCCACGCAGTTTCATCTCTGATCCTGAGGTCCAGTTGAGCCGGGAAAATTTCCTCAGCTCTGGACTGGGGGTTCACTTTTGAGGATCTGGTGCATGCCTAGGCCTGGGTTCCAAAGAGAGGCTTCTCTAAACAGTTAAAAGGCCCGGCTGTACCGGAGGACTCTGGACACGATTTGGGCAGTGACTGAGTGCTGTCTTGTGGCCTGAATGGACGCATGGGGGTAGGAGCAGCTTTGACCTGACCCTTCTTCCTGGAGCAAGCCTGGTTTGGGTTTATGTCTTTAGTGGCTTTTCCTAGGAGCCCCAGGCCATTGGCACGGCTGTCCCTCCTGCGGATGAGTGGCCTGGGAGTTAGCTCTGCCCTCTGTCCCTGCTCTGCTCCTAACCTGCCCTGTGACCTTGGGAGGGTACTACAGTCAAACTAGGTCTTATCCACAGTATATATGTAATTCTGTAATCCTTACCTCTTGAAACACAAACCCTAAATATGGAGAGGAACTTGCATCCTTGGTAAAGCAAGAGAAGGGATGTCCAGAATCCTAACTTAGCAGCTGGGATGAAAAGCCACATGTTCCTTTTCCTGGTGGAGGCTCAGAGAGATGAGTTTCCCATCACCTGTGTGGAAGCCAGGAGATAGGCTGGTAATCCTCTTCCTAGGTTTGGTTTGCAGGTCAGACTATAGGGCACCAGGCAGTGGAGGGCAATCCTCTGCATACTGTCTCTTCCCAAAGGGCCAGGCCAAAAGCAAGTTCTTGCTTAATTTATCATTTGTTACTCATCTGGCCTCTGGGGCCTTGAGAGAGGGCAGTGCTAAGGGGGAGTTAAGACCCAGGTGTTGACTGACAGCAGGCCAGCCAGTGCAGAGGCTGGAGGAACCCGCAGACCTGAGGGCTATGGCGGGGGCAGCTGCATCATCCTTGTCATTTAGACCAGAGTAAGAACTATTGGCTCGACTGGGCAAGGTGGCTCATGCCTGTAATCCCAGCACTTTGGGTGGCTGAGGCGGGCGGATCACAAGGTCAGGAGATCCAGACCATCCATGGTGAAACCCCGTCTCTACTAAAAATGCAAAAATTGGCCGGGCGCGGTGGCTCACTCCTGTAATACCAGCACTTTGGGAGGCCGAGGCTGGTGGATCACGAGGTCAAGAGATTGAGACCATCCTGGTCAACATGGTGAAACCCCGTCTCTACTAAAAATACAAAAAATTAGCTGGGCATGGTGGTGCGTGCCTGTAATCCCAGCTACTCAGAAGGCTGAGACAGGAGAATTGCCTGAACTCAGGATGTGGAGGTTGCGGTGAGCTGAAATCGCGCCATTGCACTCCAGCCTGGGTAACAAGAGTGAAACTCCTTCTCAAAAAAAAAAAAATGCAAAAATTAGCTGGGGGTGGTGTAATCGCAGCTATTTGGGAGACTGAGGCAGGAGAATCCCTTGAACCTGGGAGGCAGAGGTTACAGTGAACTGAGACTGCGCCCCTGCGGTCCAGCCTGGTGACAGAGCGAGACTCCATCTCAAAAAAAAAAAAAAATATATATATATATATATATATATATATAATGAGCTCTGGAACACTTAGCACGCAGATGTACAGTGCCTGGTCTCTGGGTTCTGCAGAGATGGGTGCATGTAGACGGCCTGGCCACCACCCTTCCAGTGCAGACTCTTGGGGAGAAGCAGCATCCACAGATGAAGAACAAGACAGCAACACAAGAGAGGCCTCTGTGCTCTGCACTATTGAGTTCAGAGAGCCAGCGCCCTCCTAGACATGGTTGTGCTCCTGGGGAAGGAATTCAGGGCTTTTGAGATAGGTGGGTCTCTGTTCAAATCCTGGCCCCATCACTCTTCAGCAGTGAGAAATTTGTTAACCTGTGTTCTCACTGGCTTGCGGGATGTCGTGATTTTGCCTGGAACATAGTAGAGGGCTTGTCATCATTCTCATCGTCATCATTTCTGTGGGGTGGAGTGGGTTATTTAGGGGTCCCAGAGGCTGCTAGTTGGGTTGGGTTGTAGGAATGGTGTGACACAAGACATAGGGTTGATTCATCTCTTCCTTGGCAAAATGGAGGTAGTTTTCCTGCCCTTCTGGGAAGGCGGCTTTTCTGTGGCCTGCCAGGGGTTGTCCCACAAATCAACTGGGTAATCTTACCAAAAAGAAATTTTTTTCCACCTTTAGTTCTGGGAGCTACTCTGATTTCTTCAGAGAAGAAATGACCCTTCTCTGGGCTGATGGTAGCCAGGAAGGAGTAGCAATGCCTGTGTGTGCCTGCATGGTGCGTGTGTGCTTGTGTGTGTGGGCACGTGTGTGTGTGTGTGTAGGATACATATCACTCACTGGACTGGTTCTGTTTTTAAACCCTGCTTCCCTTCTTTCTCCTTCCTTACCTGCTCACACCCTGCGCTATTCCAAGAGGAACCTCAATGCATGTCCAATATTTGCAGAATCGTGGGGTTTACACAGTAGTGCTGTGGATAGATTGTGTGTGCCTGGGAACCAGGACTTCCCTTTCCCTTCTGTGCCAGAATAATAGCCTGCCGCCACCTGACCTGGCGAATGTAACACTTGGCCTTGTTGTTGAGCCCCAGAACCGTAGAATGTTCTGGCTTTGATGATCTTGGAGTCCCATCCCTTTATGTTACATTAAAAGAAATTGGATCCAGATAGGTAAATTGGTGTTCCCGAGTCACGTGGTTGCCAGTGGCCAAGAGACTTGATGGAGAAGACGGAAGAAAGGTTCTATTTTTGATCCTAAATGTGATTATGAAATTGTTGACGCCTCCGGGCTTTGCTTGGAAACTAGAAGAAGGGCCGGGCGCGGTGGCTCACGCCTATAATCCCAGCACTTTGAGAGGCCGAGGCTGGTGGATCACCTGAGGATGGGTGTTTGAGACCAACCTGACCAACATGGAGAAACCCCATCTCTACTAAAGATACAAAATTAGCTGGGCATGGTGGTGCATGCCTGTAATCCCAGCTACTTGGGAGGCTGAGGCAGGAGAATCGCTTGAACCTGGGAGGCGGATGTTTTAGTGAGCCAAGATCGCACTATTGCACTCTAGCCTGGGCAACAAGAGCTACACTCTGGCTCAAAAAAAAAAAAAAAAGAAAAAACTAGAAGAGGAAGGGACCATTTGTCCCTGTGATTATTAAGGGAGGGGGTGTTAATTTCTTCTGGATGAGTCTCTTTCTCTTTTCAGACTCCCTGGAGACATGGGAGGCTGGGGAGCAAGTGGGGAAGGGGCCTGCTGCTCAGCCCAGTTGGGACTCACAGGATGTCTGCAGTGGGACTTCTCTGACCTCGAGGCTGGCGGGTTGGTGGAAAGCCAGGAGATAAGGAGTCCAGAGTCCGCCTCCTCGGCTGCCACCAGCCAAGGGCCTCATGCCCACCTAGGGGCCAGGAGGGCAGACCTTGGGACACAGGGTCACGAAGCCCCACTGTCTTGTCCCACGTGGGCATTAAGCCTCTCAGAGGGGGCCCCCATTTGGGCCCGGGAGCAGCAGAGTTGCAGAAGCTGGGAACCTCTGACCTGCACAAGAAGAGGCCAGGCAAGCCACAGAATTGCTCTGCCCAAGGGAGCCCAGAGTGCCCAGCCGTGGGAAACCAAATTCCCCACCTTGGCAACTGGAGATCTGGCTGCTGTTAGACGTCCTAACCTCCCTCTAGGGGCAGGCCCCGGAGAGTCCTGGGGCTTGGTGGAGTGAGAATGTGACTGTCCTACGTTTATTACCTCTGAGTTCCTAATGACTCTCTGAGGCAGGCCACTCAGTATTAGTAGTTAAAAAAAAAAAAAAAAAAAAAAATCAGATAAAAGTTGGGAATCTTAAAAAAAAAAAAAACTGCATGTCTTAAATCATTTATGTATGTGTTTTTATTCACCAAAACTTTGATTGAGTGCCAAGGCGTTTTCTCTGAGTCTTTAGATCTCTTAGTTACACTTAGAAATGGTTTCTATGCCGGGCGCGGTGGCTCAAGCCTGTAATCCCAGCACTTTGGGAGGCCAAGGCGGGTGGATCACGAGGTCGAGCGATCGAGACCATCCTGGTCAACATGGTGAAACCCCGTCTCTACTAAAAACACAAAAAAGTAGCTGGGCATGGTGGCGCTTGCCTGTAATCCCAGCTACTCAGGAGGCTGAGGCAGGAGAATTGCCTGAACCCAGGAGGCGGAGGTTGCGGTGAGCCGAGATCGTGCCATTGCACTCCAGCCTGGGTAACAAGAGCGAAACTCCGTCTCAAAAAAAAAAAAAAAAAAAAAAAAAAAGAAATGGTTTCTATGTAAAAATCATAACTAAACGTATTACCTGTAATTTCTGATTTCCTTTATTAATTTTTTTTTCCCTTTGGGAGGCTGAGGAGGGTGGATCCATGGGGTCAGGAGTTTG